TTCATTATTACTGCATTAACACAATGGGGTCTAGATCGTGCTAGATTTGATGTGTTTTTCAATCTTGGCATCTTTAAGATGTATGGACTTCAACTTCCAGAGCCGCAGAATGGCTAAAAAAGTGTGGAACTTGAAGTCCACACTTCTTAAAATTGCCAAGACCGAGAAACATTTTGCTAGCAGACAGTATACAGTGGTGCTTTAAAAGGCTGCGAGCCCTTTGCAATTGTTAGTATTTCTGCATCAATATACCTGGCTAGCAGTTCCTTGGAGATGGCTGGTGTCAGCCTCCAAGATTTATTCTTCTGCTTGTCTCTTCCCAGCTACCATAAAAATGGGGGGTGGGGTTGAGGAATAATTGGGCCTTGTGGAGAGAAGGGTGCTGGACAGGTGTGGGATTCTACCAGTTAGCACCTATTTGCTAGAATTGGTTGTTAACATTCTAAGCAGTTTGGAGAACCGGTTGTTAGAAGAAATTCCTGGCCTAATCCTGTAAGGAAGGCAGGAAGGAAATATTCTGGTGTTGCTTACAGAAACTGCCTCCCAGTTAACCCTATTACATTCTTGGCAGGACTAGACTTCCTGTCTCTGGAACTTCTCTGGAGTTTTTTCCCCCCTCCTTTGCTGGTACTTTGCTTGTGTGGAGTGACCATTCAAAGTTACAATGGCACTGAAAAAAGTGACTTATGACCATTTTTCACACTTACGACTGTTGCAGCTTCCCCACAGTCATGAGAGGCCAGGCGAGGAGATGCGTGCTTCGATGTGACTGATATTGAGTTGGCCAAGCCCAGCCAATAACATGACCACCAAGCCATGCCCACCAATTAAGCCACACCTACAGAACCAGTTGTTAAAAAATTTGAATCCCACCCCTGGTGCTGGAGGATGAAGTTGGTGAATTGTACAAGTTCTTATGCTTTCTTGCTTACTGCGCAGATGCAGCCACTTATCTTTTCTAGGCCAAGGTCAACCGTCTTGGCATACCAGATGTGTGAGACGCCACCTGACATTATACACACCTCAGATTGGATGTCCAGTTTGAACTATTGGGGGTGGGGACATGGGATAACTTTTCATATGTAATTTTCATTTCTTCTGATGCTGACACTTCAACTTCAGTAAAAGTCCTTTTCTCTATAAAAATGGAGTCTAAGGTTTTCTCTCTTGGATCTTGAACGGAGCTACACCTGACAGCCGGATTTGAATTCCTGCAAGCATCATGACGTTGGAGTCAATAGCCTGAAACAATTCCTTTCAAACTTGTGATTCCATAATTTGGTGATTCTCTGAATCAGCCCTTTAGTTTGCAAGTCACATTCCAAATCTTCAAGTCACCGGGATGGGCTGTGGTGTTGAGCTGGATTATCCCAGGTATGTGACTTGGAGTCAGGCCATCCATACAGGTGTGTGCAGAAATGTTTCATCGCCTCTCTACTAAATTAGGAATCTAAAGAATTGCCATTGCTACTATATAACATCATACATTGCAATGTCCTACCTGTCAATGAATACTTCAGCTTTAATCATAACAATACAAAAGCACACAACAGATACAAACTCAAGGTAAACCACACCAAACTTGATTGCAGGAAATACGACTTCAGCAACAGAGTGGTCAATGTCTGGAATACTCTCCCTGACTCTGTGGTTTCTTCCCCAACCCCCGAAAACTTTAACCTTAGACTTTCTACTATTGACCTCACCCCTTTCCTAAGAGGTCTGTAGGGGGTGTGCATAAGTGCACCAATGTGCCTACTGTCCCTGTCCTATTGTTTTTTTATTTTTCTTATAAATATCTATCTCATGTATTCAAAACTATATTTATTCTTATACCTGTATCTTGTAAGCGACTGACAAATCAAATAAATACTAAAAAAAATAAAATACTGGTGGATTTTTAAACAAATCAAATTCTCCCTTCTTGCTGGGCCTGATTCCAAGAACGAGTTAATGAATTTTGGATAAAATTATCCAACTCTTTGAAACTTCTCCTTGAAACTAATCAAGGAGAGGACCAACCTGGAATTAAGAAGAAGCTATCTAAGAGTGAGAACAAATAACCAGTGGAACAGCTTGTCACCAGAAGTTGTGGGTTCTTCATCACTGGAGGTTTTTAAGAAAAGACTGGACAGCTACTTGTCTGAAATGGAAGGTGACCGCCTTCTTGAGCATGGGTTTGGACTAGGGGTGACATGATAGCTGTGTTCCAAAATCTCGGGCTGTCCCAAAGAAGAGGGAGCCAAGCTATTCTCCAAAGCACCTTAAAGGCAGGACAAGAAACAACAGGTGGAAACCAATCAAGGAGAGAAGCAACTTAGAACTAAGGAGAAATTTCCTGACAGTTAGAACAATTAACCAGTGGAACAACTTGCCTCCAGAAGTTGTGGATGCTCCAACACTGGAAGTTTTTAAGAGGAGATTGGAAACCATTGATCTGAAATAATATAGCGTTTTTTTTGCTTGAGCAGGGGGTTGGACTAGAAGACCTCCAGGGTCCCTTCCAACTCTGTCATTCTGCTAAAAATACATAGGCAGGGAAGTCTGCAGAGATGGGGTTCACAAAATGAAGATGGCAACGAAAGGTTCCAATCCCATAACTGTATTTACTCTCTTGACCTTTTGGACTCTATTCCTGCAGAAACCCTTCCATGTAGGACTGGTGAACCAGTGGTGGGATTCCAATTTTTTTTACTACCGATTCTGTGGGCATGGCTTGGTGGGCATGGCAGGGGAAGGATACTGCAAAATCCTCATTCCTTCCCCACTCCTGGGGGAAGTTTACTGCAAAATCTCCATTCCTTCCCCACCCACCCCCCACTAACCTGCTTTCCAGCTCTGTTCTCCTGTGCAGGGCAACCAAAGAAGACCCAGCCGATCAGATGGGACTCAGGAGGCAGAGTATAGATGGAGGCAGGGCCAGTCAGAGGAGGTATTTGCCAGTTCTCTGCACTATTCAAAATTTCCGCTACCGGTTCTCCAGAACTGGTCAGAACCTGCTGAATCCCACCTCTGGGGTGAACGAATGGAAACAGTCTTCCATACAATGACATCTACAGCAGAAGATCCCTTCTTAACAGAAAAGCTTTTTAAAGTAGATTGGAACTATGACAAGCTGCCTGCGTACTGTGAAATATTCTTCGAAGAGATGGGACTTTGCTTTTGTCGTGCACCTCATTTTGCCACGTCCCTCGTACACACATCCCACCCCCATCTTGGCATCTCTGATCTTAGATCTGCTCTTGGACAAAGGACATTTCATGGGGGCAAGGCAGAAAAACAAGATGACTGGGGCATGTTTGTGATGTGGTAGGATTGCACCATTTTGTGTGAAAATCCACAGAGTTTGAAATGTCTCATTCAAGGGAAATAGAACGGAAAAACAAAAACAGAAGCGACAGTTTCTGTCTTTTTAAAAACCTTTATTTATGTTGGCCTTATTTGGTTAAGACTTCGATGACCAAAGATCTTGGAATATCCTTTTTTTATACAACACCAATCAAAAGTCAACAGAGGATGAGCAAAGAGTATGGCGCAATAAAGGCATGTCGGAAACAGTCTTACAAAGAGGTTTTCATTCAGTCATGGAGGAGAACTCAGGCAGACTCTTTCAGCCTGCCTCCTTTCTGATGTGTTGGACTACAACTGCCATATTTTCCAAGCATGGAGAAGATCATAATGTTTGTTGCTGTTTAGAGCTGGAATGTCTAACATTGCAACTTTAAGACTTGCAGACTTCAAATCCCAGAATTCCCCAGCCAGCAAAGCATAGCCTAGCTGGCTGGGGAATTCTGGTATTTGAAGTCTGCAAGTCTTAAAGGTGCCAAGCTTGGACATGCTGGTTTAGAATCAAGCCACACCTTCTGCGAAGTATCCCAAAGGTGCTTTTTCCAAAGCTTCTCATCCAAAAAGCTTCCTCAGTTGTAGCGGAACTGAACTGAAGAAGCTAGTTGGATGAGAAGCGACATGTTTTCAAGGTAGAAAAAAAACACCAAGAAAGTCCATTTACCTATTTAAGAAAGCACCTTTGGGACAACCATGACCTGGATGACTAAGAATCTCCATAGACCTTCTGCTACGTGGCTATTTAATAAAAGTATTGATTATGTGCTATCAAATCAGTGTGGATTCTTAGGAACCCTACAGATGGATCTCTAGAAGGATCTGTCTTCAACCTGATCCTTCAGATCTTCCAATCACTGTTGTAATCAAGTCCATCTACTTTGCAACTCTGTTATCCTCTGTTTCCCGTTTCCTTCCATCTTTCCCAGCATTATGAACTTCTCAAGAGAGCCAGGGCCTTTGCATGATGGGTCCAAAGTAAACCATTTGAGCCTGGTCATTTGTGCCTTGAGTGAGAACTCTGGATTGATATGTTCTATGACACACTGGTTTGTTTCCATAGGATTGTCGAGAGTCTTCTCCAATACTCAATTTCAGAAGTGTAAAAGTAGAAAAAAAAATAGCAGGATTTAATCTGGAGTCTTCTCAGTGCCAGCTGATTTGTGCAAATTGTGTTGGATATCAGATTTGAATTGTGCATTTGGGAAAACTGAATCGATTTGGAAAACACAGCGATTTTTGATACCCAAAGTGAAACATCCAAATGGGTTTCTTTGGTAAGCGGGAAAAAAAGCTGTTTCAGTGGCTACACAGAAATATGCATTCATGTGCACTGATGATGTTAACTAGTTTGGTAATGAAATGTCTGCAAGAAAACAAGCAAGCTTGGAGAGCATCAAGGTTCCCACAGAAACATCCCAAACTGAATTAATCCAGAGTCAATATCAAGTTCCCTTTGAATCAAATCTAACTGAATATATGCTCAACCCTACACAGTATCCAAGGTTTATGAAGCAATCCCCGGTTCCTTACAGCAGGGGGAAAAAAAATCCCATTCCTTTGTAGTATACATTTTTGTACGGTACATTCTCTCCTGCACAAATATAAACACACACACATTCTCTTGTTGCAAAACCGAAGTTTGCCAAATTTTAATCTAGCTCCTCATTTGCAAATTTCACCCTACACCTTTTGTAAGCGCTGTGGATGTGGGAACCACCCAAGTTCCCGTGTTCTTTGCTTGAAGCGGGTTGGGATAAACCTGGGTCACCCTTCAAGTGAATGCGCTTTCCTCCTCCATCACGACAAACTAAGTAAGGGCAGCTAACAAAAGAGTGAGGGAGAAGAGCCCCAAATTTGTGGCGAGGCCGAGAGCTCCACTGTTGTGTTGCTCTTTTACCGCTGTGTTGTGTTCTGGACTTTTAGGATCACTGAAGAACGAGGTGCTAGCGTTCCTCGTAGCTTCTTCTTCTGCTGCTCCAAATGAAGTCACCAGGTTCACTTCAAATGGGTTTTCACACCCTGTCTGGTTGCACGGAGTCTTGGTTTTGGGACGGGAGGTACTAGGTGCCACAACAAGGCCCATTCCAGGATTGTGGATGGAGTTGGACTTGGTGTTTGCTGCTGAAGAAGCATTTGCTCCATACTTGCCTTCTACAATGAAAGAGCTGTTATCTATAGATGTGATGGGAAGTCTGGGAAGAACATTGCTGGCCAGGCCATCTGAAGTTGCATTACGGCTGGTGGGGGTTGATACGGGAATACTATTATCAACGATGAAGTTGTCCCCTCCAGATGTTCCATAGCCATGCTCCATGTTGGTGCTTTCTGAGGTATTAGTGGCAGGAGAATGTGGAGCTCCATGTTCTTCTATGGCTAAAACAGAAGCATTATGTATGTTTTCAGTGGATGAGGAATAGGATTCTGATTCTTGATTGCTTCCTTCTCTGAGAAAGTTGCCAGCATCGGGAGCATCTTCAGCAGAGCTGGAAGTGTTTACTGGGGTCCTGCTTCCATGAGAAGAAGATGCAGGGTGGCTGGAAGAAGAACCTTCATGGTCCTTCTCCTTGGTGACTATGAAGTGCCCCCCAGAGCTGAGGCACTTCTCCTTTGTCTCACATTTGTCATCATTGCTAGAAGCTATCAAAACTTCTTTGGAGGTACTTGTCTGGATGGGGGAGGGAGTCGTAGGAGAAGCGGTCTTGTTTCTCTGGGGAACAATGAATGGGATCAGTAGAGCAACACCACCAGGGTAACCAGAAGTCGAATTGCTTGTCTCCAGGTTTGTGGTAGCCAAGGAGCTGCCTGAAGAACCATGTCCAGTATGTGAATCGCCAGTAGAAAAAGACGTTTCTCTGCTTTCAGAAGAATTTCCAGAAAGAGTCTCCTCGTAGGGTTTTCCACCTACGAAGGTCTGGTCGTGATGGGACGAAGGTCGGACATGGCTCTCGTTGACCAAATTCTCACTCGCTTTCTTTTCATCAACCATGTAGACAGTCTCCTTATCAGTGTGGTTTCTAGAAGATGGGCCCTCACCAGGAGGCGAGTCCACCAACACCATGAGATCTTCCATCTCATCTGAATCGAAGCAATCAGATTTGGGTGTAGGCTCAGACGGCTTGGAGTCGAATGTGACACATCCTATATCCTCAGTGTTTTCGGGGCTGTCAGCAGAGTCTCGGGGTTCCGTGATCACGCCGTCTACAATGCGGTTGTTGCAGAGATTCCCTTGGCAACAGATGATGTCAGCATCTTCCAGCTCCTGCACCAATTCTAAGAGAGAGCTCTGGCACATGGCAGGGGAAGCACAGCCTTTGAAAGTCACCAAGCTCACTTCTTCCCCAGCTGAAAGGAAAAGGAGAGTGTCAAGCCCAACACTGATATACGTGTAGTCATTTTATTTAGCCTTATTATATATTCCTTTTCTTTCTTTCTCTTTGCTAGTTATGGGGGGGGGGGTTTCGGGCTTGCCACATTCCTAAGGGGGGAGGAGTGGAGATAGAGTTGTTTAGGCTAGGTGGTTCTTCTTCCCGTGGGAACAAAAGCTGACCATGCTGTGACCTGGAGGTGGAGATTGATGACCCCAGGAAACGTTGATTTATTTCTATTGGGGAATGTGACTTTTGGGAGCTGTTTCTAATTTGCAATGTTATGTGGTGTAATTCTGGGTTGTGTCAGATCTGGAATTACAACAGACTTTGCCAATTTGATGTTTTTCTAAATAAAAAAAATGTTTTAGAAGATGGACTTTGGTCTTTTCTTTTTAAATGGATTTCATCACTTGGAAACCTGACAGAGAGAAGGAGAGTAGCCAACAATATCAATCCAAGAGTTGATCAGACCTGGAAGAGACTGAGTGAGCCTCCTCCCCCAAGAGTTAAGATATGTCTCCATTCTGGAGTCATGGACTGTCTAAGTTTCTAGCCCAGGGATCTTCAAACTTGGTAACGTTAAGACTTGTGGATTTCAACTCCCAGAATTCCCCAGCCAGCATGAGGAATTCTGGGAGTTGAAGGCCACAAGTCTCAAAGTTGCCAAGTTTGTAGACTGTCACTGGCTGTCTAAGTTCTAGTCCAGGGTCTCGAAACTTGGCAGTATTATGACTTGTGGACTTGTGCACTTAAACTCCCAGAATTCTGCCGCCAGCATGAAGTCCACAATTCTTAAAGTTACAAAGTTTGGAGAGCCCTGGTCTAGTCTATCTTATGACCATCTAAACATGGAACCTTTGTGGTTCCCTATTCTACTGTCGTCCTTTAAGCAAGACGAAAAAGGAAGTGCAAAAATTGTGGTTAGACTTGTCTCTAGAGTAAAGTAGAGTGTAGTGTAGTGTAGTGTAGTGTAGTGTAGAGTAGAGTAGAGTAGAGTAGAGTAGAGTAGAGTAGAGTAGAATATAATAGAACAGAACAGAACAGAATAGGGTCACAGGTGACTGTGAATTATGTATGCCAGACCTGGCTTCATTTAGGTTAACACCCGGCAAGTTGATTCTGGGAGTTGAAATCCACAAGTCTTAAAATTGTTGCCTGGTGAATTCTGGGAGCTGAAGTCCACAAGTCTTAAAGTTGCCAAATTTGGAGACCCCGATATAAGCCAAAGTAGAAAATTTCTGAAGGTCAAACACTCACCTTTACGGCTGTTGCCAATTCCTTCCAGGCACATGTTACGAACACCGGTGCACTTCACTTTGGAGATGGTCTTGTTGGAACATCTACCTCCAGAGCCCTGTCCATCCACACAGCTGTAGCACTCCAATCCGTTTGGAGCCTGGCTTTCCAGGTGCAAGTCTGAAGGAAGTGGAGATACGAAGCAGGAAACAATCTATGAACGTTTGTGTGTCATGATCAGGACATTGAGTTTCAGGCTGTTCATAGGAAGAGTCAAACCAGGAGGGTACTGCTTCACACAAATAAGAGATTTCAGAGAGTCTCTTTCTCCACCATGACCTACATAAGCTGCCCAGAATTCTCTTTTGTGCATAGATCAGATGCAATCCATGCTATGTTTTGAAACTTGGTCTGTTTGGAAACCCACCTTTGCAAATTTTCCACCTTTGCAAATTTCCTTCTTGCTGAGAAGCATTTGGTGGTTTGCGAGGGGAAATGAGGAAGCGAAGAGAAGTCCAATAAGGCACCAGGCTAGAAAGCGGGAGATTGTGAATTCTAGTCCTGCCTTAGGCATGAAAGCTGGCGGGGGCGGGGGGGACGACATTGGGCCAATCACCAGGAGATGGTGAGTTCTAATCTCATTTTTTTTTAAAAACCCAGCTGGGTGACTTTAGACCAGTTCCTCTCTCTTGGCCCAACCCACCTCACAGGGTTGTTGTTGTTTGGGGGGGAGGAAATAGGATGCAGAAGGTGTTGGATATGTTCACTGCCTTGAGTTATTTGTAAAAACAGTAAAGGCGAGAGATAAGTAAGTAAATAAATGAAAATGAGCTGCCGTATATGGTAGCTAGACGGATGAGCAAACTTCTTTTCCCTGAAATATTTCTTGTGGTCAGCTGCTAATGTGTGACTGGGCTGTACAATTCAACATGGGCTACTTTCCTGGCAGACACGTCTCTGAATATTTCCCTGAAATGTTAAAAAAAAACTTTTCCAGTGGATTAGAAGCTCTGCTATGTTGAGGGCATCGAGAAAGCTGCTAAACCTCTGAAACAATGACCCCAGTGAGTCACAGGTGTCTAGTAAACCAATAAATGCATCCTGAAGTGACCCTTGGATTTTGAAATGATGCAGTCCTATACAGAGTGATGGGCTGTTGCCAGTTCAGGCCGGTTCTAGTGAACCGTACGAATGATCAGTTGGCCTGCCCTATCCTGTCTTACATTTCCTTCTTTTGCCGCTCAGCTGTTCTACTTAGCGGGGAGAGCTAGAAGGTGAGCTGGAGAGGTTCAAATTGGTGTTTACTGAATGCTGTGCACACTCATAGAACCAGTTGTTAAACTGGTTGCAACCCACCCCTGCCTATGTACCATGTGTAATTGAGGAGGAGGATTACCTGGAGTGAAGGTATTGCAAAGCGGAGTATTGCAGCAGCTGGCGTGGATGATCTGGCTTCCTGAGTAAAAGCTCAAAGTATCCTCACACCGGGGGAGATTGGCGCAGCCTTTCAGCTTGAGGTTGGAATACGGACCTATTAAGAAGGAGGTTTGATAGAGTGGGTCCATTATATCCACAGCACTGAGTGTTATCCCTACCTCATCACCTTTTTAGTCAGAGAGAGAGGACAATGGTTAAGTAAGGCATATCTCAGCACTTGGGGGTACCTAAGTGATGGCCTTTCAGTCTAGCTTCATGAACGATTAGCCAGATCTCACAGCTTGGTCCCTTTTATTTAATGTCCCCATTCTCTGCTTATGTAGTATACTAAGAAATAGTTCTGGAGAACTTAGCAAAAGTTGCACATTCCTTGTCAATCCAAATAAAGGTATCATCCAGGGATGGAGGTTGGGTGTTGCGGTGGTAAAAGTTACTACCCACTGCAGTGGAATGTAGCCTGGTTTTCCAGAAGGAAGAAGTTGCATTCCAGAGGGCAAAAAAAGATAGCAAAGCATGCAAAGTTTGGTTGGGAGAAAGAGAGTGTAAGAAGTTATATCTATAATGATGCAAATAAGTTCCTTACTTTGGCAAGATTCTGTCTTTAGGTGAAGAACATTAAAGGGAACTGCTCAGAAGTAACTCCACATGTCCTTCGTGGTTCTTGGGGTCTCAAACCCAATCCAATATACACATAAGCTATATTCACAACCAAATCTATGACATGGGCTTTGGCTACAACAACGTTAAGAAATCTTTTTGTGGGCTGACAGCATAATTTTGTTTTGATTTTCCTCAGGTGTGCTTTTCTGAATCTGGTTGGCATATGCTGCCTTCTCATCAGCTGTGTTCCTCTAGAGCATTTCACAAGTCAGTTACAAACTTAGAAGCTGCATTTGTGTATCAAAATCACCTTAGCTGATTTTTGGGGATCTTAGCATGTTGTCTGAATTCAGATTTTTGGTTAGGTATGGTTCAGGATAATGTGCACGCGCTCTTCTCCAGTAAAACAGATTATTCAAATAATCAAATTAAGAACAGTGGTACAACTCTTCCATTCATCTTAATCCAGCCATTCGCCCCCATCTCCAATCTACCTACCTCTTTCTTTCTCTTTCCCAGATTTTTCGTCAGCTACTTACCCAACTTCCCAGTGATGTCAAGATCCACACATTGCTCCTGATGCCCAACACAGCTGATCTGAGTGCGAGAAGCTTCAGGACACCAGGCTCCCTGGGAGGCACAGGTATGGCAGCGCATGTGATTGGTTGGGGCAGGATGAGAGACTGGGGAAGAGGCACACAAAAGGGTAGAAATTAACCGCCAATCACTGTTCCAGCTGTTGTACAGTTGGGGTTAAGTTAAAGCTAGGTCTTTGTGGGTTCCTGGTCAACATATGTTCAAAAACAGCTTGCCAATATATTTTCTGGGATCTTTTTCAATTTTCCAGTCAAGCCTACAGTCCTGATATTTCTAGGTTAGGGTGTCAAACTCAAGGCGTCACGTTGTTGCCATCTGATGTAGCATGACTTTTTCCTCTTTGCCAAACTGGGGGTGGGGGTGGCCAGAGTGTGATGCATACAGCCCACAGGCTGTGAGTTTGACACCCCTGTTCTAGGTGGTTTCCTTTCCAAGCGCAAATCAAACCCAGCCCTGCTCAGTTTCTGTAGTAAAATGTGCGAATGACCTTGGGGAGACAAGGGGAAGAGATGCAGCCTAGGAATCAATGAGATAAGAGAGGGAGGAGCCCCAGTGGCTTAACGGTCAGAGGAAGAAATAAGGAAGGACCTGCCCTTATAGATCAATCAATGAAAAAGTCTGAAATACTTTCAGAAGTCAAGAACAAATTCTTCTTCCAACTCAGCTGCCCCACGTCTTGCAATAAGGCTGTTCCCATCCCCACTCAATATTTAAAAAAAAAAAAGGAAAAGGAAAAGGAAAGCTAATTATCTGGTTCTTGCCAATTTCATCCTTTTGCTTTTTTTCCTCTAGAAACTACTAAGGGGAACTGCCAAGCTATGAAGTCATCATTCCCCTTATAAGACCCGAAGCTCAGAAGTTTGGAAAGACAAAGGGGAAGAAGAGCTCCCTCTAATGGAGAAATGGAGCCACAGCCTCTTAAAAACAAAAATCCTTGCTTAGCAATGAACTAAAGTGCAACCGAGTCAGAACGTTGTCCAGCTGCCTCCTGAAAAAAAGCACTTTGGGGACAACCAAGACTTGGATGACTGAGAATCTCTACAAATTGAGTCAGAAAGTTCTGTTCTTCAATTGTGGAGAAACAGACCTGGAAGGCCAGTCTGTGAAGCTGCTTTCAAGCTGACAGAGAATCTCCGCGGAATGCCAGCCCAGCTCAACTCAAACTAATGTCTCATTTTCATACTTTCTACCCCCAAACGTCACAATAGGGGAATAGAATTAGGTTTTTTAGGTAAGAAGAGCATAGAGTCCAGTGTGGCTTAGGTGAGTTGAACACATTGAGATAATACTAAAAATACCAACAATCAACATTTGCCTATCAAAGGTCCTTGGGAAGGACTCAATATGATAAAAATGACAAATCCAGTCTAAATGTCTGGCTGACTGTGCGATGAACTAATAAGAATAAATACTGCCCCAAAGGAAGGATGGACAAACGGCTACCAAAGCCCTTATCCCATATATCAATCTTTCATAGGGATCTTTTTTTGGGGGGCGGGGGGACAAATAAGTGCCTTGCAACATCACTTGGCAAACTAGCTGACTTATATACTTCAGGTGCAAGTGAAAAAGCGGGAGATTTGTATTGTAACATCACCACACAACTTGTCATTTTTTTCCTCGTTGTGGTTTATATTAGACCCCTGTGCAGCCTTTCCCAACGTCATGCTCTTTGTGCTGAATTCCAATCCCCAGAATTCCTAGTCGGCTGAATGAAAATTCGAGGAATTGTAGTTTAATTCAAAATACCAGTTTGATCTACTGATTAAGGCCCCGGGATAGAAATCAAGAGACTGGGAGTTCTAGCCCTGCCTTAGAAAGCCGGCTGGGTAACTTTGAGCCAATCACCAGGAAGCGGTGAGTTCTAGTCCCATTTTAGGCATGAAAGCCGGCTGGATGACTTTGGGCCAATCACCAGGAGATGATGAGTTCTAGTCCTATTCTAGGCATAAAAGTTGGCTGGGTAACTTTGAGCCAATCACCAGGGGGCGGTGAGTTCTAGTTTCACCTTAGGTATGAAAGCCGACTGAGTGACTTTAGGCCAATTTATTTTATTTATTTATTTATTTATTTATTTGATTTGCCAATTGTTTACAAGATAATAAGTATAAGAGTATACATAGTTGTGAATACATGAAATGGGTACATATATGAAAAATAAAAAAATAAGAGAAACAATAGGACAGGGACGGTAGGCACGTTGGTGCGCTTATGCACGCCCCCTACAGACCTCTTAGGAAAGGGGTGAGGTCATTCCTCCCTCTTATCTCAACCGACCTCAAGGATTGTTGTTGTGGGGAAAACAGGAGAAGGAAAGAATATTAGATATATTCACTGTCAAGTTGTTTATAAAAATAATAAAGGTGGGATCTAAATAAAAATGGTGGGATAAAAATAAAAATTCTTTTGGGGGGAGGACCCCTCCCGGGCCCAGTTTGAAGGGGCTCCCCTTCAGGACTCACCGAAGTAGGTCTCGTTGTTACAGCCATCCTCCGCACAATAGTTTGCTTGGTACGAGAGAGTCACAAGATGCGAAGTCATGGAAAAAGATTCAAATGGATAGAGCTGTCGAGCGCAGCCTTTCCTCACGGTCTGGAATTCCAGAAAAGCTGAGGGAAAAAAAGAAGAGATGGAAATATATATATATATATTTTTTAGGCTGGAGAATCCACGACCCGGTCAGGATAGATATACTGTTTTTTCCAATACTTCTTTCTACCTCCCCACAACATGAATGGAATTAGTTGGTTTTCCTTGTTTTATTTCGACAAATAAAACTCTTGAATTCTCTTCCTGTGTTTGGCTTTGGAAAACTGAATATCCTTTCCTGTAATGCAGAGGTCTCCAAACCTGAAGACTAGTGGATTTCGACTCCCAGAATTCCCCAGCCAGCTGGGAGTTGAAGTCCATAAGTCTTCAAGTTGACAGGTTTGGAGATCAATACTGTTAACAGAATGTGAGAAAGACCTTGGGAGACAGACAGAGAAATGCTGCCAAGGGAATGGTCAGATAAGAGACAGCATAGTCCACAACTGGACAATGGGTGGGGCAAGAAGCTTAGAAAAGACCCTCCCTAATTCTAGGGTAAGAGGACATGGTGGCTCAGGGGCTTAGACACTGAGCTTGTCGATCAGAAAGGTCGGCAGTTTGGCGGTTCAAATCCCTAGCGCCACATAACGGAGTGAGCTCCTGTTACTTTTCCCAGCTTTTGCCAACCTAGCAGTTCAAAAGCATGTAAAAATGCAAGTAGAAAAATAGGGACCACTTTGGTGGGAAGGTAACAGTGTTCCGTGCACCTTTGGCATTTAGTCATGCCGGCCACATGACCACAGAGACATCTTCGGACAGCGCTGGCTCTTTGGCTTTGTAATGGAGTTGAGCACCACCCTCTAAAGCCGGAAACGACTAGCACGTATGTGCGAGGGGAACCCTTTACCTTTTAATTCTAGGGTTGTAAAGGAAGCTGTGGGTGGAGGATTGTACTTTCAGACTTGACAGATTCTGCCAAGATAACTTTACAATAAAGTAGAACTAGCTCATCGGGTTGCGATTTCTATCTGGGATGCCAATATCAATCTTGCCAGTCTGAATATATAATTTACTCCCTGAACTGCTCAAGAAACTAGGGAGGGTTTCTTCTGAGCCACTGCCTCACCCTCCATACAGCTGCAAGTTATGTTGTCTTTTATCTACCCTTTTCATTGCTCTGTGTCCCAAGGTCTTTCCCACATACCATTATACTTCCCTTATTTCTTGCTTCCTCTCTCTGCACTCCAGGAAATTCAAAGAGCAGGGATGGCTGTACTATCATTAGTGTTCAGGGATTTTTCAAATCATAAATTAAAACATATGAAGAACGATTGCGGGAATTGGGTGTGTCTAGCTTAATGAAAAGAAGGACTAGGGGTGTCCAATAGCCAGGACTGGGCTGCTGGGGGTTTGCAGGGGTTCAGAAAGGCCCCTAGCTAAGATTCTGTGCAGTTCGAAGAACCCCCAAACCAGAGGGGGTATTCAGCAGGTTCTGACCAGTTTTGGAGAACCAGTAGCGGAAATTTTGGGTAGTTAGGAGAACCGGCAAATCCCATCTCTGACTGGAGATTTTACAGTATCTTCCCCTGTCACACCCACCAAGCCACGTCCACAGAACCAGTAGTAAACATTTTTGAATCCCACTATTGCTCCAGATCTCACCCCTGGCTGGCCCTACACATCCTGCTTGAGCAGAGGAGGGGTTGGACTAGAAGACCTCCAAGGTCCCTTCCAACTCTGTTACTCTGCATTCTACACCAGTAATTGCAGCATTTGCAAACAATGGAACCCACGAAAGTGACTTTTCCAACACAGCCGCCCATTGTTTTGCTATGTTCAAACCACCCATGTTCCAACTTCTTTGCAGAAGACAAGAAAATTGTTGTACAAACAGGGGCATCTGCTGGTCAGGTCAAGAAGGTAGCCGTAGCAGTACGATCAAAGCTCTACTACCTAGTTTGAAAAGTGGGCAGAGCTTCGATTGTACCATCGTGGCCAACTTGATTTTTTTCTGGACCACACAATGCAGACAATGCTTGTGACGAATGACACTCACAGACATGTGCCTTTCGGACTGAAGTTGTGCAGCTGGCTGAGGAATCTTCGCAGGTCATGTTCTGTCCAACACAATTGTATTCTCCGTGGCATGTATTACACTGCAGGCAAAACACTGGGAAGAAAACAAGAAAAATTACTTTAAGACTGTAGTACTCTTTATTCCCTTAAGACCTGTGGACTTCAACCCCCAGAATTCCCCATCCAACTGGGAATTAAAAGTCCATGTGTCTTGAAGTTGCCAAGGTTGGGCACCCCTGCTTTAAGATTTTTATAGTCCACCCAACTCAGAGAATATCCAAATCCTTAACTGAACACAAGCACAGAGGCAACTGAAGGGAAGGAATGGTTAGAAGCCTCTGTTTATGCATTTATTTAATGCTACAAAGAAAGAAACAACATGGATTGGATAAGAAAGAAGACAATAAATGCAGAATATATTTAAAATGTTCCATATATTTTTAAATCTGTGCACTGTGAACTTGGAAGTCGCTCAACAGTGAGATAGGTGGCACATAAATTTAATAAATAATATACAAAATAAGTACAATGCCTATGCCTAAAGGGACGTGTTTTGCATAAACCATGCAACCAAAGGATTTTTGGGAAACCCAATTGCTATGAAAAGAACTTTTAACACCCAGTTTCAGGAACCAGAAATGTGAAACTGGGTTCATCTTTATTTTCGCCTTTTTGATCTCTTTCCATATTTATCACCGTAGCTAATCATCCTGCCTTTGCAATTATGTGACAGAGAACACTGAAGACTGGAAACTTCCTATTGAGAGAAGTGCTTTTAATTTTAAACCCAGAGTTTTAAGAGTCTTGGGGGTGGGGTGGGGTGGTATGTGGAACCAAGAAGAAAGTCTAGTTTTGTGTCTAATTATTCTGTTTCCCTGTCAATTCCATGAGCTTGGAAGAAACTAAGTGATGTTTAAGGTAGCCTTTTGAGGGGTGGAGTTGTGATGTGCTATTATCTACTTTAGGCAAGTAGAAACACGTCTCCTCAGCTTCACTATTAGGCTAGTTTATTATTGCCAATAAACCTATCCCTGTTCAGATAGTTCAGGAAATATATGGGACTGGATTGTATCTTGCAACAAACTGTTTATTGAGTTGTTTATTGATTAACTCATAGTGTAAGTAACTTGCTAAGCCAGCAACCAGCTTCTGCAATCCTGGACTTATATAATACATTAATCCAAACTAATAAAGCCAAGTTATTGCAATACATGAGTCTAATCTTTTTATTGAATGCAGAGAGGAGATGACAAGAAAACATCAGGAAACCTCAGAGAACTTGCTAACTAGCAAGCAAATAAAACGTTGGAAGACTCAGCCTGATGGGCAACTCGGCACAAGGTAGTCCTCGACTTATGACTGCAGTTGAGCCCAACATTTCCATTGCTAAGCAAGACAGTTGTTGTTAAGTGAGTTGTGCCCCATTTTACGACTGTTCTTGCCACAGTTGTTAAGTGAAGTCACTGCAGTTCTTACGTTAGTAGCGCGATTGTTAAGTGAATTTAATTTCCCCATTGACTTTGCTTGTCAGGAGATTGTCAAAGGGAAATTACGTGACTCCAGAACACAGCAACTGTCATAAATACGAGTCAGTTGCCAAGCATCCCGTTTTGATCACATGATCTTGGTGATGCAGCAAGAGTTATAAGAGTGAAAACAACGTTGGTTAAGTCACTTTTTTCCCCCCCAGTCCCATTGTTGACTTTGAGTTCGTCTTGACTTGTTGCTTCCTATGTTTGTTAGTTCCTGAGGCTGACCTGGATGTAACGGTTCCCACGTGGATGTAGTTTTCCTACCCGGCTGCCGGTGTTGACCACTAACACGCAAATACAAGAAACCAGAGGTGGCATTCAGCAGGTTCTCATCAGTTCGGGAGAACTGGAAATGTTGAATATTTCGGAGAACCAGCAAATGTCACCTCTGGCTGGCCCCGCCCCCATGTATTCTCCGCCTCCCGAGTCCCAGCTGATTGGCTGGGTCTTCTTTGGTTGCCCTGCACAGGAGAACGGAGCTGGAAAGCAGGTTAGTGGGGTGGGGAGGGAATGGGGATTTTGCAGTAGCCTTCCCCTGCCACGCCCACCAAGCCACGCCCACAAAACCAGTAGTAAAAAAATTTGAATCTCACCACTGAAGAATATATATATATATAAAGCACATATAAATAAATATATATAAAGCACATTTCCATTCTAAGTAAGGCATGTTTCCTCACAAGTCTGTCCCACCAGGGGTGGGCTTCAAAAATGTTATCAAGGGGTTCTCTGGCTGGTTGCTGGGTGGGCGTGGCCATGGTGGGCGTGGCCTAGTCAGCCTCCTGCACCACAGCGCACGGTTGAGTGTTTTTGCCATCCCCAGAAACGGCCTCCCTGGGCTCCGGAGGCTCTCTGGACGCCGGAGACAGGCCCATTTCCGGCCTTTCCAAACTTCCGGGAGGCTCGTTTTTCTCCCTCCCTGAGCCTCTGTGTGGGCCTTGCACTTACCTTCATCCAAAATGGGCCGTGTGGGGATTCCTGGAACGGGCAGGATGGGGTGGTTAGGGTGGGATTTGGGGGTTTTCTGAACTGCACAGAATCCTAGCTAGGGGCTCTCCCAAACCCCTGCAGACCCCCAGCATCCCAGCCCTGTGTCCCACTGAATTCAGTGCGGAATTGTCACAAGCTAGTGAACGGAGGTTAAAATCCGATATACAGTTATGCACAAATAATCCCCATTGGACATCGATGGCTGAGCCGCCAGCAATATATTCTATTACTTTGAACAACATCAGAATGCTCTCTCTTTATTCCAGCTGCATTGAGCATTCTGAAATTCAACCAACTCCAGAAGCTGTTTAACTTTTTTTTAAAAATCAGTCGCTAGCTTTTGAAAAAATGAAATATTTTACATATCAAGTTACTTATACAGATACCCTACCTGAACTAAAATACATTAAAACTGTTTATAAAGGAATAGAACTGTCTCTTCTCTCAATCATTTTCTAGGTGACTTGTTCATTTTGCAACATAGTTGGGAAGAAGCAGCTAAATTTATTTTTCACGTGTTAAAAAAATGAAGACAGGTTTTCTTTATCTGCAGGCTGGACACGGTGTCTGTCCACTGATTGGCAGGACAAACCTTAATATTCATGTTAATATTTTATAATATGTTTTCTTTCAAACCTGACAAACTTGTTGCAGATATTCTTGCCTTATTATTACAGTTTGTATGTGCTCAATAATTGCCCTGTTATTGCAACTGGATACAAACAATGCATTGAGGTTTATCATGCTTCTTCCAAGTGTCCACAGATCTTGGGTTGGCCAGCATCAATGGGTACTTGAACAGTCCTAAGTGCTACAAACAATTATTAAGTTGCAATGATCCATTAAACTTGTTGGTTTTTCTTTGCACAATAAACTCTTATCAGGTTTTATTTTCACTACAAGTCTATGGAGATTCTCAATCATCCAGGTCATGGTTCAGTCCTTTCAACAGATCCAAGAAGGCTCCACACCCATTTGCACCATTCAGATGACCCTAACAACACAGATAAACCTCCAGGTGGCCTTAACAACTCGCTAAAAGAATGCAAATGAACCAGCTGTCTGCAAGGAGTGTAAATCCATTCATTCCCTACCATTCAGTAAGAGCTGAAGAAGTTTATTGGATGAGAAGTGAAATGTCTTCAAAGAAAAACCAGAAAGTCCAGCTGCCTCTTGGAAAAGCACCTTTGGGATAATCTACACTAGGTATTTCAACTGAAATATTCTCCAACAGTGGACTTCAGCCCTCAATATTCCGGAGCCAACTGAGCTATTGCTGTGAATTGAATTCTATATATGGAGTGTGGGGGGAGGGAAATTACCTATATCAATGTCTATGGAATTTCTCAGTCATCCAGGTCATGGTTTCCCAAAGGTGCATTTTAAAAATGCAATTGGATGTCGTTTTTCCTTGAAGTCGTTTGGCTTCACCAGTTCCAAGAAGGTTCCACAACCCATTTGCATTCTTCAGGTGACTCTGAAGGCACAGATAAACCTCCAAGTGGCCTCAATGACTCTCAGAAAGAGTGCTAACGACCAGAGGACTGCAAGGAATATCAATCCTTCCATCCTTCACCATTCAGACAGAACTGAAGAAGCTTCTTGGATGAGAAGCGAAACATCTTCAAGGAAAAACAAAGCATAGTTGCCTTCTGAAAAAGCGCCTTTGGGACCTACAGTTATAAACAATCTTGCAATGCTGAAGGTAAAGTCCCTTCTGAAGCAAAACCTTTATTTCTAATACTCTGAATGTGTCAGAACAGAGTTTCTCAACCCTGACATCTTTACGATGTATAGATTTCCCAAGGTAGCATGCTGGCTGGAGAATCCTGAGAGTTTGAAATCCATGCACCTTAAAGTTGCAAAGACTGAGAAATGCCGTGTGTTGGAAAGCAGAATGGATGGGAAAGTTAGAGATGCTAACAAAATTTCACTTTAACGGAAACGTAAAACAGATTCTAAGGCTCCTACAGCACAGAAACAGTTAAACCTAATCTAAAAAAGACCAAAAGGGTTTGGATCAAGAGAAAGTGCTCCAGAACAGAGCTGCATACCGTTTTTTTTCCCCCTAAGGCACAAATACAAAACAAAAGTAAAGATTCTTCCCTAAGAAAAAGAGCTGCAAAACTTCCAAGGAAAGTAGAATAATAAGATAAATAGAATAAAAGCAGAGTTGGGATTGAATATCAACAGAAAGGAGTCTATCAAGGCAAACAGTCTTGCTTTACCTTGGCTGAGGAGGGTGAGTAGCAGTACCATTAGCAAGTTCTTAGCCATTTTGAGATGCCTCTAACTTCCCCCTTTGTATCCTGCTTCCTGGACGTGGCCAGCTGCCTTGTCACTGATTCTCATGAGTGTCTAAATATTCCTGGCTGAGCATTCCCTTCTATATGGACCTGCCCAAAATGAAACACCTGTTTGGGTTTTCATTCATCTCAGGCTAAGATCCTCCTCTGCTCCAATGAGTGGGAAAGGGCAGTTTCAACCCCGGCACGTGAACAGCCATCCCAGAAGATGCTCTGGAAAGAGACCCACCCAGTATCAGGGATGAGTCACAGCTGGAATTCGTCAGGAGCTCCTGAAAGGATCTCAAAGGATACAGGGGGAGGTGAGTGTACCAGGAATCCAACCCAGCTGGTTGGAATGAGAGGTAGGAGAAAGAGAGGGAGAGTAAACAACCGGTCAGGGAACGGGAGAACAAGAAAGAAGAGAAAGGAATGAGGAGTAAGCCTGGAAAGAATGCTTCACAGAATAGTCTTCGACTTATGAACACCGTGGAGATCAGAAGTTCCATTACGAAGTGAGACTTATTGGGCAAGATCACCTGCTAAAGGAGAGGGAAGGAAAGGAAAGGAAAGAAAAATGCATTCCAGCATGGAGTCTCTTCATGGGAGGAAGTGAAAGAGGCCTGTCTCTTGAAGCATTTGTTTGCCCTTTCCAATCAATCAGAATAGAGCTGGAAGGGACCATGGAGGTCTTCTAGTCCAGCCCCTGTTCAAGCAGGAGACCTTATACCATTCCAGACAACTGGCTGTCCAGTCTCTTCTTAAAAGCCTCCAGTGATGGAGCACCCACAACTCCTGGTGGCAAGCAGTTCCACTGGTTAATTGTCCTCACTGTTAGGAAGTTTCTCCTTAATTACTTCTCTCCTTGTTTGGTTCCATCCATGGTTTCTTGTCCTGCCCTCTGGTGCTTTGGAAAAAAAGTTGACTCCCCTCTTCTTTGTGGCAGCCTCTCAAATACTGGAATCCTACTATCATGTCACCCCTAGTCTTTCTTTTCTCTAGACTAGCCAAACCCAAATCCACTTTTTCCAAAGTCTCAACATCTGTTTTGTAATGTGACCAAAACTGGCAGCTATATTCCAAGTGTGGCCTTACTAAGGTTTTATAAAAGCAGTACTTTTATATATTTATAAAAGCAGTATTGTTATAGTATTTTTATATATTTACAGACCCCTCACATCCCAGACATAAACTGTTTCAACTCCTACCCTCAAAACAACACTATAGAGCACTGCACACCAGAACTACTAGATACAAGAACATTTTTTTCCCAAACACCATCACTCTACTAAACAAATAATTCCCTAAACACTGTCCAACTATTTACAAACTCTGCATTACTATTACTATTAATCTTCTCATCACTCCTTATCACCCATCCCCTCCCACTTGTGACTGTACAACTGTAACTTTGTCGCTTGTATCCTTATAATTTATATTGACTGTTTCCTAGTATGATTTGATTGCTTATTGTACCCTGTGACTATTATTAAGTGTTGTACCTTATGATTCTCGACTCTTGACAAATTTATCTTTTCTTCTTTGTATACTGAGAACATTTGCATCAAGACAAATTCCTTGTGTGTCCAATCACACTTGGATAAAGTGTGATAAAGAGTTCTATTCTATTCTAATGAAGAATTCTATTCTATTCTATTCTATTCTATTCTATTCTATTCTATTCTATTCTATTCTATTCTATTCTATTCTAAATACTTTACATGATTTTGATTCTGTATCCAAATGAATATAATCAGTCTGGCAAGATTCTCGTAAATAAACTGATTTGGCTTATTCACTGAATTGTTCTGGTTCCTTGTATCTGACCGGTTGCTAAGTGAGTTGTGCACAATGTTACAATCTTTTTTGCCCCAGTTGTTAAGTGAATTACTTGGTCACTAAACAAACCTGGCTTTCCCCATTGATGTGGCTTGTTGCAAGCTGACTGGGAAAGTTGCAAACTGTAACCAGTTGACCCCAGGATGCTGCATCTGTCATAAATACATGCCAGCTGCCAACCAACTGCAGTGGTTGTAAGTGTTGAGGAACGGCCATTCTTTTCAGTGCTATTGTTCTCAGGGTTCCAAGTAACAGACCCACAGCAAGCAAAACTCTGAGGCAGGTAGATTCCTCAAAGAAATGTTTTATTGGGTATATCATATTGGCACAAATCTGGTGAAAACCGACTCTGAAGACTCCCGCGATTTTCACCTAATTAAAAGTTTTCCCCTTTCCCCAAATAATCAGTCACACAGTCCAATTGAAGTGCCGTCTGGTTGCTGGGTAACATCATTCCTCCTCTCTCTGACCAGGGGTGAGAATGTCCTTGGTTCCCAAGAGAAAGCATTTTGTTTTGGCTACAAAACCCCAGTTATCTCTACCCCTCACCTCCCTATCCCTCAGTTCCAGTGTGGCAACACTGAAATCACAAAATGGCTACGGTCAGCTCAGCTTCAGGGTTGACAGTTGTAACATCGAACAGTGACTAAACAAATAGCTGTAAATTAAGGACTATCTGAATGCTTAGATGAGTCCAAACTAACAACCTTATTCATGTCACAGGCAAAGCTTGCTTGGTTTTAATCTGGGGTTTGGGTTGACTTGGTATCTTATGTAAACCTGGGGTTGGTTTCTGGTTCAACATGTTGAGCAAACACCGAAAAAAGGATGCCAATGTTGTATATGTTGCAATGCAATATTCTTTCATCTCAAGGATTTTGGAATAATCGCTAATGCTGGACCGCATCCCAGCAATCTGGCTCTTATTATATCACCCTGGTTCTGTAACACGGGCTGTGTTAGCACTGTGATTTTGAAAGTTTTAACAAAAGTGTGTTGAAGCACATGGAGTGTACACAGGGGGACTAAACTCAACTCTGTCTACCCCTTTGTAAGTGGTTTAGAGTCAGTTCCACTGGAGCAGCAGAGCGTTTCTGAACCCATGGTGGGATTCAAGCTTTTTACTACTGATTCTGTAGATGTGGCTTGGTGGGAGTGGCAGGGGAAGGTTACTGCAAAATCCCATTCTCTTCCCACCCCACTCACCTGCTTTCCAGCTCCGTTCTCCTGTGCAGGGCAACCAAAGAAGACCCAGCCAATGATCAGCTGGCACTCTGGAGGCAGAGAATAGACTGGGCCAGTCAGAGGTGGTATTTGCCAGTTCTCTGAACTACTCAAAATTTCTGCTACCAGTTCTCCAGAACTGGTTAGAACCGGCTGATTACCACCTCTGCTCTGAACTGAATAAACCCTCAAAACCAAACACAGCCATTTTCATGATGTTATTGTAGTACACGACCAGGTCTGGCAATCCCAGAAAAAATGTAGCTGCTTTAAGGAGCTGCAGATAAGTGTGATGTGAGCACCACTGGGTGCACCAAAGCACTTTTTGCCTTTAGCCTGACAGTGCTGCACACCCTGTGTTGTGTGTTTACTATTAGACTACTTTAAAGGTTTTGTTTGTGCAGTTGCTTCTGAGAGCCGGGAACATCCCTAGGTTAGGAGGCACCAGGAAATCTCTGATTGATGATGATTCAGTTTCCGCATCTTTAATTGATGCCTCTGTTCAGGGGGTGGACAGATAAAAACACTGTCTTACTAGATAGGGTTCCTCAAGGACAGATGTGTAAGTCAACTGCAGAAATAGAGTTTGGTATCAATTTAAATCAGACCCAGAGTTTAAAGCTAAAGTAGCTCAGATCTGCATATATTCCCATATTTTCTCCTTCTGATTGTGATTCCTTTTTAACTGACAGGATAAATGGGTCCTCCCTTTATGTATGTTTATCATATCTGCGTTGCAAAAATCCAGGTAAGCATTAGATGGCAGCAGAGGTCCTTTTGTTGGGATCTTGTGTTCATCTGGATCTTTGCAACCTGGATTTAGAAATCTTGATTTAAGGACAGGAAGCATATTAACCCCCATTGTTCCATGAGCCCTAATAAACAGGATGCTAAACCTGGTTAGTTCCCCCCTTAGCTTAGTGTAGGTGTGTCCAATCTACAGTCCGCGTGTTAATCCTGGACAGCTGGTAATGAAGCCCCACAAGATTGTAAACTTTTAACATTATTATGTGATTTATATACTTTAGCTATATTATATACTGTATATTTTATATGTGGCTCAAGACCATTCCTGACAGGGCAGCCCAGGCAAGCCAAAAGATTGGAAATTTTGGGCTCAGTTGGGTTGTAAGTCAAGGAGTACCTGTAATTCAGGAACCCAAGAAAGACAGCCAGGTGGGAACTAAGGCCCCTTCCAGATTCTTGGGAGGTTGAGTGAATGGTCCAAAAACCAGAACCTGCGAGCAAGTAGACAACTGGTCATCTTTTCCATTTTGGAGTTGGGTGGACTCTTTCCTTCTCATTAACCCCAGGATGGGAGTTAAGTTACATCTGTCTATTCACTAAAGATAGAGATTTTCTGGTCTCAGGATGAGTTTAGTTTGGGTGTACCTTCTCTTCTTCCTCTTTTTGGAGACAAATAACACCATCATTGAATCCATCCCCACCAAAGGAGCGTGCACAGTTTCCATAACTCACCTGAGGACAAACAAGGAACATTCCACAATGGACACGAAGGATTGTAAATATTACAGCTACACAGGAGTTGCTTCCTCAGATAACAGATAATCAAAGTTGGAAGGGACCTTGTAGGTCTTCTAGTCCAACCCCCCGCCCAAGCGGGAGACCCTACACCATTTCCTCCATCTTGCTTGCTCCATTTCTTGCTAGATCATGAATTCTCATGGACCCAAAGTCAATGCACCCAGCTCTGCTCCAAAGGGCAGCCTGTTCTTTGGTTTTTTGAGAGCCAATGATGGGCTTCCTTGCTAGATGGTTGCCATGGAGGAGTTGGCCTTTGCCCAAAGTGGATATCAGGATTGATGGAGTCAATCCTGAAGAACAATACTAAGAGCCACCTGGCCTCTTACATTGTCTCTTGTGGCTCCAGGAACGAGACAAGTCAATGCAGGATAAAAACTTAATGGA